CTAGTGGAGTCCTCTTGTTTTTTATTTCCTGTGGTATTCTAGTTTTGTAACATTGGTTTACCTGTCCTTGACTACACTTTTTCCCCACTACAGCTCCTGTTCTCCCATGAGGTCAATTTATATGCATTCCCTCCTGCCTATATTTCATGACTACCTGGACAAAATCTCCAGCTTCACCCTTACTGTCTCCCAGGACAGCACCTCCAGCGTTCACTATTACTGTCTACCTCAGGACAGCTATCAGCCCCACATTTACTGACTACGGGGCAGCACGCGCCAGCTTTACAGTTTCGACTACATGGCCAGCACCAGGGGATATCCATCCACCCAGACTTTTTTATTTTCCCATCTGTTATTAGAATGCTTTCCGGTTTTCTATGAAGGCTGCTTTGATGTTATCCTCTTTTAATACCAATGTGATTTTAGTCCACAGATTTAGCTCATTTGGCATACCCTAAAACACATCCCAGAGTTAATACTCTTGTAGAATTCTTGGATAACTGCACAAGAGGGCGTGGAACAAAAAAAAAACCATTTTTCAAAAAAAAAAAAAAATGACAATTTATCCATGCGGAAGCCACGTTTGTTTTGATTGACTGCAGACTACACAGAGCTTCATACTGTGATTTGAATGGTTGGATTTACTGTAATTCTACATAGTAATTAACCTCTTGAATATTCACCTAATAACCTCCTTAAAGTGAAGCTCTAGTTATTTGTATTTCTATTTCTAACTGTACTTGTATATTAATACAGCTTACTGGAGTACGTTTGTTTTATATTTGTTGTTTGTGTTTGATAAGGGCGCCTAAAACCCCGTCTGTTTACAGTATGCTTTATTGTCCAACGAATCCGTGTGGAACTCTATCAAAAGCCTTACTGAAGACCATATACACAATATCATATTCATTACCATGATCTACCTCCTCAAACACCTTAGTGAAAAAAGTTAGTAAATTCGTAAGACAGAATGACCCTTTGTAAAACCGTGTTGAATATTCATTTAATCATTCTTGTGTCTGTCAAGATGGTTACGAATTGCTTCGCAATTAGATTCATAAATTTTCCCAACATGGAGTGTAAGGCTTTATGGTCTATAGTTCGAACAAGGACCTGTCACCTGCCTTGTTAAATAGGTATTACATTTGCCATTTTCCACTTATCAGGCACTATGCCAGTTTGTATGTTTGTTAAAAAGATTAGCCGAAGGTATGCTAAGTTCCGCCTTTACATTCCTTTAACGAACCCCTTGCAACGTTATCAGGCCTGGGGATTTGTTAGGTTTTAGCTTCTCTATTTGTCTGAGGACCATGTCACTAGTTATCCGCAATTGTACATAGTTTATTATCATCCTGTTCTACATAATCTATTATTTCAGGAATATCACTAGTATTTTCCTGGTGAAAACTGAGAGGAAGTAGGTATTGAGAATTCCCACATATTCTTATCACTGTCAGTGATCTGCTGACTCAGAGTTACTCTTAATGGGCCAACTTAGTCCCTAATCTTACTTCTTATAATCCTGAAAGAACCCTTTTGGGTTAGTCTTTGAAATCCCTTGCGACCTTAAGCCTCATAATCCTCTTTTTTACTTTTCTTATTCCTATTCTTTTTTTCTCTCTTTAATTGATATATTGATTTCTTAACTGCCCCAATCCCCTCTTTTGATACGCCTATAATAGCCTCTCAATTGACCAATGAGATATTTTAATCTATTGTCCATCCATTTGTGATCATTTTTGTTAGATCCTAATTTCCCTACCGAAACAAAAGTGGTCTGGGCAGCTAGAACTATGCTCCGAAAAGCGTCCTATTGGGCAACCAAGATCACCTACTCTGACCCATAGTTAGACATCACAATTAGCCTCACCCAGGTAATTTTTCAGTTCCCAATGAAGTCGGCCAAGCGAAAATCCTGGGACAGAGATTTGATTGCAGTTATCGGGTAATTCCATGATATATTAAAACTAAGTGATGTGTGATCACTTTCTCCAAGCTCAGCATTAACCTCAAGATTATTAATTAGTGAATCTTTGTTGGCAAGAACCAAGTCAAGCAGATTGTTTCCTCTAGTTTGTTCTGTCACAACCCTGTTCTAAAAAAGCAATCCTGAACCGATCCAAAAAGTCACAACTCAAGAGTTCCTGTCTATTGTTGCACACAGTTGTCAATGTTAAAATTCTCCCCTTTATCACAGATAAGGGGAGATGTAAGTTGTATGTAAGTTACTATTATTATATTATATATATTTTTGTATCAGTGTAGGGAATTTTTGTGTCCTTCCTTATACAACATTAATTATTTGCACTCATGCTTGATTGTATGTGTACATGTTGGCCCAAGGATCGCTGTGGTTTTCAGATAATTTATAACCCCTAGACAGCATGTAAGCAGCCTTTGGTGCCCAAACATTTTATTTAATTACTGACATCAAAAGTCGTAAACAAACATGTCATAACAAGTATGGAAAATATCTGTAAGTAAGAAAATATTAAATACTCATAATTCACAGTAACATTTCAACACATCACACAGTCAATATTAATACCGAACGTTCCAAAAGACGGTTTTGAAACAACCCGTTGATTTCATTTTATAAATCATTAACCAGCATCCTTCATATTTAAATTATAATTTTAGATGGCAGGCAGTGTATATGCTAAGAGGACGGAAGACATTCGAGAGACAGGAACAGGATTAAAATATATATTCAGCGTTATTAGTAAACTGGAAACATTAGTTATTATTTGCTCAGCAGTGCATCCAGGAGTCAGTGGTGTTCCAGTCGGGGGTTAGCGATACATCACTGTATAGAGAGAGGTTAGTTTAACATCTTTATAATACACCCGATGCTTGTGATAACCCCACTCTACTAAGGTGACAGTAAAGCAATTACAAAGAACTACAGACCAATAGCACTAACATCCCCTATCATAGCAATCTTTGAAAATGTTCTAAGAAGCAAGATCGCCAACCACCTAGATACCCATCAATTACACAACCCAGAGCAACACGGGTTTAGAGCAGGTCGCTCCTGCCTCTCCCAGCTACTGGATTACTATGACTAGGTCCTGGATGCTTTAGAGAATAAACAAAATGCAGATGTAGCATACACAGACTTTACAAAAGCCGCCGAAAAGGGTGACCATGGTGTAATAGTGCACAAAATGTGTGATAAAGGAATAACAAAGAGTAATGGCAAACCGAGTCAAGTCTGAGGCAGCTACGGTGAAAAGCTCTGCGTCACAAGGTACAGTACTCGCTCCCATCCTGTTCCTCATCCTCATATCTGACATGGACAGGGATGTAAGTCATAGTTCCGTGTCTTCCTATGAAGATGACACCCTAATTGCCATGACTCAAGAAATCGTAATGACACGATTGCAAATAAACCATACCCCCGGCCGGGATTGAACCCGCGGTCATAGTCTCAAAACTCCAGCCCGTCGCGTTAGCCACTAGATCAGCTAGCCACAATAAGATTCATCCAACTAGGTATATTTCTACACCATAGGAAAGTTAGCACAGGCACCTCTGTGACCACAAATGCAAGTTTTTACAGACGAATCTCCAGCTAGCGTGGCCGTGACGAACTCTAGCTCAAGTCCCTTCACTGCCGTCAACGCAACGGGCTGGAGTTTTGAGACTCTATGACCGCGGGTTCAATCCCGGCCGGGGGTATGGTCTAATTGCCATGGCAGTTACCTCCATCGAAGACACCACAAGACTCCAAGTGGACATCAACCAATTCTTCAAATGGGCCACTCAAAACAATATGAAGTTCAATGATGAGAAATTTCATCTACTCAGATATGGAAAACTTGAGGAAATTAAAACTGTATCATGGTATATAACAAATTCTAACCATACAAAAGAGCGAAAAAGTAATGTGAAGGACCTGGTAGTGATAATGTCAGAGGATCTCGCCTTCAAAGACCACAACAATGTATCTACCGCATCTGCTAGAAAAATGATAGGATGGTTAATTGAGAACCTTCAAAAAAAAAAAAAAAAAAAAAAAAAAAAAAAAAAAAAAAAAAAAAAAATAGGCACAATACCGTAACTGGATGATTCTCTTGAAATCGCTTGTTCTCTAGGCTGGAATACTGCTGTACACTAACTGCCCCTTCAAGGCACTGAAGTCCCTTCATTTGTATTCCCTGGTATGCAGGCGAAAGAGATACATGATAATATGCACCTGGAAAATCCTAAGATAAGATAAGATAAGATTTCGTTCAGATTTTTAACCCCGGAGGGTTAGCCACCCAGGATAACCCAAGAAAGTCAGTGCGTCATCGAGGACTGTCTAATTTCCATTGGGGTCCTCAATCTTGTCCCCCAGGATGCGACCCACACCAGTCGACTAACACCCAGGTACCTATATGCTGCTAGGTGAACAGGTCAATAGGTGTAAGGAAACGTGTCGAAATGCTTCCACCCGCCGGGAATCGAACCCGGGCCCTCCGTGTATGAAGCGGGAGCTATAGCAACCAGGCCACCGGGCCACCACCTATAGGGATTAGTACCAAACTTGCACACGAAAATCGCTCCCTACGATAATAAAAGATTCTGCAGGAGATTCAACATTCCCTCAATGAAAAGCAGGGGCGCCACGAGTACACTGAGAGACAATACAATAAGTGTCAGGGGCCTAAGACTATTCAACTGCCTCCAGCATACATAAGAGGGATTACCAATAGACCCCTGGCTGTCTTCAAGAAGGCACTGGACAGGAACTTAACCTCAGTACCTGACGAGCGGGGCTGTGGTTCGTACGTCAGTTTGCGTGCGGCCAGCAGTAACAGCCTGGTTGATCAGACCCTGATCAACCATAAGGCCTGGTCTCAGACCGGGCCGCGGGGGCGTTGACCCCCGAAACCCTCTCCAGGTATACTCCAGGGAGACTGCTGTGTGGCAGCCGCCTCTGGGTCCAGGATACAATAATATTTGCCTGGATTTTCCCCATCACGTCCACTCGCTCACTCGCTCACTCTCTCACTTGCTCACTCGATCACTCGCTCACTCGCTCACAACCATTTAACATCAAATGCAGGTTTGGAAATTCATTGGTATTCATTATTAACTTTTATTCGTCAGGTGGTTTAACAATATCACGAACATTCCACGAACTGTCTACTTCAAGTTTAAACAGTTTTTATCAGCAAATTTAGATAGATTCTCACGGTGCGGATATAATGATGTTGACGACATTGTACACGTTTAGAGTAAGAAGTGTTACTCCATGTGAAGTAGAGGTGAGATGAGGGGGCCTTGATGCCAAGGGTTCTTCATCCAAGGAATTTTACGCACTCATTCATGGCAGCAAGGTTTTTCCCTATGAACACCACCATGTTATCTAACATGTTACCTAACATGTTAGTTACCTAACATGTTACCTAACACCCATCACGCACGATAGGTCGTCATAAGAAGGCTACTCACATGTTACCTAACACCCTTCACGCAGGAGTGGTCGTCATAACAAGGCTTCTCACATGTTACTTAACACCCATCATGCAGGAGTGGTCGTCATAACAAGGCTACTCACATGTTACCTAACACCCATCATGCAGGAGTGGTCGTCATAACAAGGCTACTCACATGTTACCTAACACCCATCATGCAGGAGTGGTCGTCATAACAAGGCTACTCACATGTTACCTAACACCCACCATGCAGGAGTGGTCGTCATAACAAGGCTACTCACATGTTACCTAACACCCATCATGCAGGAGTGGTCGTCATAACAAGGCTACTCACATGTTACCTAACACCCATCACGCAGGATAGGTCGTCATAACAAGGCTTCTCACATGTTACGTAACACCCATCACGCAGGAGTGGTCGTCATAACAAGGCTTCTCACATGTTACCTAACACCCATCATGCAGGAGTGGTCGTCATAACAAGGCTTCTCAACTTCACTGATAATAACGAACATACAAGTTTGTTCGTGTTCGTTCATTTGTTGTTTACGTTGTGTTATGACCAGAAGATGGAACAATGTTTGGTGGTAACAATAGTGTGATCCCATAACTATTCTGCGAGCAGTGACTCATAACAATATTGTGAGCAGTGACTCATAACCATATTGTGAGCAGTAACCCATAACCATCCTGTGAACAGTGATTCATAACCATCCTGTGAACAGTGACTCACAACCATCTTGTGAGCAGTGACTCATATTGTGAGCAGTGACTCATAACCATCCTGTCAACAGCGACTCATAACCATCTTGCGAACAGTGACTCATAAATATTTTGTGAGCAGTGACTCATAACCATCTTATGAGTAGTGACTTATAATTATCCTGTGAACAGCGACTCATAACCATCTTGCGAACAGTGACTCATAACCATCTTGTGAACAGTGACTCATAACCATCTTGTGAGCAATGACTCATAACCATCCTATGAGTAGTGGCTTATAATTATTCTATGAGTAGTGACTCATAACCATCCTGTGAGCAGTAACTTATAATTATCCTGTGAATAGCGACTCATAACCATCTTGTGAGCAGTGACTCATAACCATCTTGCGAACAGTGACTCATAACCATCTTGTGAGCGGTGACTCATAACCATCTTGTGAACAGAGACTCATAACCATCTTGTGAGCAGTGACTTATAACCATATTGTGAACAGAGACTCATAACCATTATGTGAGCAGTGACTTATAACCATATTGTGAACAGTGACTCAGCCATTCTGTGAGCAGTGACTCATAACCATCTTGTGAACAATGACTCATAACTATCTTGTGAACAGTGACTCACAACCATCTTGTGAACAGTGACTCATAACTATCTTGTGAACATTGACTCACAACCATCTTGTGAGCAGTGGCTCATAACTATCTTGTGAACAGTGACTCATAACCATCGTATGAGCAGTGACTCATAACTATCGTGTGAGCAGTGACTCATAACCATCTTGTGAGCAGCGACTCATAACCATCTTGTGAGCAATGACTCATAAACATCTTGTGAACAGTGACTCATAACCATCGTGTGAGCACTGATTCATAACCATTGTGTGAGCACTGACTCATAAACAGCATGTGAGCAATGACTCATAATCATCGTGTGAGCAGTGACTCATAACCATCGTGTGAGCAGTGACTCATAATCATCTTGTGAGCAGTGACTCATAACCATCGTGAAAACTTTGACTCATAAAAATCCTGTGAGAAGTGACTCAATCATCTTGTGAACAGTGACTCACAACCATCTTGTGAACAGTGACTCATAACCCTCGTGTGAGTAGTGACTCATAACCATCGTGTGAGCAGTGACTCATAACCATCTAGTGAGAAGTTATAAACATCTTGTGAGCAGTAACTCATAACCCTCGTGTGAGTAGTGACTCATAATCATCGTGTGAGCAGTGACTCATAACCATCCTGTCAGTATTGACTCATAATTTTCTTGTGAGTAGTGACTCATAACAATCTTGTGAAACGTGACTCATAATCATCTTGTGAGCAGTAACTCATAACCATCTAGGGTACAGTGACTCATAACCATCTTGTGAGCAGAGACTCATAACCATTTCGTGAAGAGTGATTCATGACCATCTTGAGAACAGTGGCTCATAAAAATCCTGTGAGCAGTAACTCATAATTATCCTTTGAACTGCGACCCATAACCATCATCTGAACAGTGACTCATAACCATCGTGTGAGCAGTGACTCATAATTTCCTGTGAACAGTGACTCATAACCATCGTGTGAGCAGTGACTCATAACTATCTTTGTAGCAGACTCAACTATCTTGTGAGCAATGACTCATAATCATCCTGTGAACAGTGACTCATAACCATCTTGTGAGCAGTGACTCATAACCATCTTGTGAGCAGTGACTCAAAACCATCGTGTGAACAGTGACTCATAACCATCGTGTGAACAGTGACTAATAACCATCATTTGAACAGTGACTCATAACCATCGTGTGAACAGTGACTCATAACCATCGTGTGAACAATGACTCATAACCATTCTGTGAGCAGTGACTCATAACCATCATGTGAGCAGTGACTCATAACCATCTTGTGAGCAGTGACTCATAACCATCGTGTGAACAGTGACTCAACCATCGTGTGAACAGTGACTCAACCATCGTGTGAACAGTGACTCATAACCATCGTGTGAACAGTGACTCAAAACCATCGTGTGAGCAGTGACTCATAAGCATCGTGTGAGCAGTGATTCATAACCACCGTGTGAGAAGTGACTCATAACCATCGTGTGAGCAGTAACTCATAAGCATCGTGTGAGCAGTGACTCATAACCATCGTGTGAGCAGTGACTCATAACCATCGTGTGAGCAGTGACTCATAAGCATCGTGTAAGCATTGACTCATAACCATCGTGTGAACAGTGACTCACAACCATCGTGTGAGCAGGGACTCATAAGCATCGTGTGAGCAGTGACTCATAACCATCGTGTGAGCAGTGACTCATAACCATCGTGTGGGTGATAGTTTCCGTAATGTAGGGACTGGGGGCCCCAATATTTTTTTTATCAGCTAAAACGGTAACATTATATACAGATTTATAGGCCTAGGAACAAATATAATGAGTTGTCTATTTAGTCACACATTTGAATGCTGCTTCCATGTGGTTAGGATTTTTGCAATTGCAGACAGCGAGTTGCATTTTTGCAAGTTGCATCGGCTATCAGTTACAAATAAACATTAATGGGAAGTTTGCAGTAGGCAACAAATATTTGCACATTTCTTGAACCTTTATTATTGAGTTTTCTCTAAAGAGATATTATTCTGCTCGCGATAAGTTGATTCTGCAGAGTTACTCAAAACTGAGTTTGACATTTGATATCATTATATTTACGAGAAACACTAAATCCGTAGTAGTCATGTAGCACCTGGAGAATGTGAGGTAAGTAACTTGAATTCCAGGAAGGTTAATAAGATGGTACAAGATCATCATACTTTCACAGGTGTCGAGGTGTCAGCTAAGTAGAGTTTGATATGAGTTTTTATTCGCCAGATCTATTACACTTCCAGAAGACCGTAATTAAAAGATATCTTAGGCTCATATAATGAGTCCAGGAGCTGGGTATCAACATTATTTAGATAAAGCAAGTTACTTTGGTGATGCGTTAATAAGTAAACACTTGGAATGTAAATAATTCCATTTAATCACACACACACACACACACACATACACACACACACACACACACACACACACACACACACACACACACACACACACACACACACACACACACACACACACACACACACACACACAGTGCAAAATGCAAGGAGGCAGTGGAAAGGTTTATTCCCAAGGGCAACAGAAACATTGGGAAGACCAGAACGAGTCCCTGGTTTACCCGACGGTGTAAGGAGGCAAAAACAAAGTGCAATAGAGAATGAAAAAAGCACAGAAGGCAGAGAACACATGAAATAGGGAGATTAGTCGCAGATCCAGGAACGAGTATGCACAGGTAAGGAGGGAGGCCCAGCGACAGTATGAAAATAACAGCATCGAAAGCCAAGACTGACCCGAAACTGTTGTATAGCCATATCAGGAGGAAGACAACAGTCAAAGACCAGGTGATCAGACTGAGGACAGAAGGTGGAGAACTCACAAGAAATGATCAGGAGGTATGTGAGGAGCTAAACAGGAGATTTAAAGAAGTTTTTACAGTAGAGACAGGAAGGGGTCTGTGAAGACAGCACAGAAGGGAACATCAAGAGGGAATATACCAACAAGTGTTGGATGACATACGAACAACCGAGGAGGAGGTGCAGAAGCTGCTAAGTGACCTTGATACCTCAAAGGCGATGGGACCGGACATCTCCCCGTGGGTCCTTAGAGAAGGAGCAGAGATGCTGTGCATGCCCCTAACCACAGTCTTCAACACATCCCTTGAAACTGGGCAACTACCTGAGAAATGGAAGACAGCAAATGTAGTCCCCATATTGAAGAAAGGAAACAGAAACGAGGCACTAAACTACAGACCTGTGTCTCTGACATGTATTGTATGCAAAGTCATGGAGAAGGTTATCAGGAGGAGAGTGGTGGAACACCTGGAACGGAACAAGATTATAAATGTAATAAAGTTGGTAGAATTACCGACAATATGTAAAGTAAAAGGACACAAGTGCAACTAATGTGACATTTATTGTGGCAACGTTTCGCTCTCCAGGAGCTTTATCAAGCCATTACAAACAATACATGGACACAGAGGGTATATAAAGGCTCAGAGTGAGGTGAATACTAGTGAGGTACCATTCCGATGTTCACTAGTGGTAGTAGTAGTAGTAGTAGTGGTAGTGACAAAAGCAATTAATTCGTACATGAGTAAAAGGATATAAAAGCTATTACTTGGGTAACAGTAATAGCTTTTATATCCTTTTACTCATGTACGAATTAATTGCTTTTGTCACTACCACTACTACTACTACTACTACCACTAGTGAACATCGGAATGGTACCTCACTAGTATTCACCTCACTCTGAGCCTTTATATACCCTCTGTGTCCATGTATTGTTTGTAATGGCTTGATAAAGCTCCTGGAGAGCGAAACGTTGCCACAATAAATGTCACATTAGTTGCACTTGTGTCCTTTTACTTTACAAGATTATAAATGAAAACCAGCATGGGTTCATGGAAGGCAAATCCTGTGTCACAAACCTTCTGGAGTTTTATGACAAGGTAACAGAAGTAAGACACGAGAGAGAGGGGTGGGTTGATTGCATTTTCCTGGACTGCAGGAAGGCCTTTGACACAGTTCCTCACAAGAGATTAGTGCAGAAGCTGAAGGATTAGGCGCATATAACAGGGAGGGCACTGCAATGGATCAGGGAATACCTGACAGGGAGGCAACAACGAGTCATGGTATGCGAAGGGGTATCACAGTGGGCGCCTGTGACGAGCGGGGTCCCACAGGGGTCAGTTCTAGGACCAGTGCTATTTTTGATATATGCGAACAACATGATGGAAGGAATAGACTCTGAAGTGTCCCTATTCGCAGACGATGTGAAGCTGATGAGAAGAATTAAATCGGATGAGGATCAGGCAGGGCTGCAAAGAGACCTGGACAGGCTGGACACGTGATTCAAAAACTGGCTTCTCGAATTCAACCCTGCCAAATGCTAAGTCATGAAGATTGGGGAGGGGCAAAGAAGTTCACAGACAGAGTATAGGCTAGGTGGACAACGACTACAGACCTCACTCAGGGAGAAAGATCTTGGGGTGACCATAGCACCGAGCACGTCACTGGAGGCACAAATCAACCAAATAACTGTTGCAGCACATGGGCTCCTGGCAAACCTGAGAATAGCGTTCCGATACCTTAATAAGGAATCGTTCAAGACACTGTACACTGTGTATGTTAGGCCCATACTGGAGTATGCAGCACCAGTCTGGAACCCACACCTGGTCAAGCACCTCAAGAAGTTAGAAAAAGTACAAAGGTTTGCAACAAGGCTAGTTCCAGAGCTCAGGGGAATGTCGTATGAGGAAAGGTTGAAGGAAATCGGACTGACGACGCTGGAGGACAGAAGGGTCAGGGTAGACATGATAACGACATACAAGATACTGCGGAGAATAGACAAGGTGGACAGAGACGGGATGTTCCAGAGAGGGGACACAGAAAGAAGGGGTCACAACTAGAAGCTGAAGGCTCAGACGAGTCACAGGGACGTTAGGAAGTATTTCTTCAGTCATAGAGTCGTCAGGAAGTGGAATAGCCTAGCAAGTGAAGTAGCGGAGGCAGGAACCATACATAGTTTTAAGAATAGGTATGACAAAGCTCAGGAAGCAGAGAGGGAGAGGACCTAGTAGCGATCAGTGAAGAGGCGGGGCCAGGAGCTGAGTCTCGACCCCTGCAACCAAAATTAGGTGAGTACACACAGACACACGCACATGCACACACAAACACACACACGGTTTACACCCATACATTCTCACATATACAGACTCACACACACTCTCTCCCCCCTGCACCCTCCCCCACCTATCTCCCACTCCTTCCCCTGATCCACCCTCTCTCTCACCCTCCTCCTCCCCCTCCTCTCCCTCTTTCCCCCTCTTCCTCACCCGTTCTCTCTCCCCCTTTGCTTCTCCCTCCTCCTCTCTCAGCATATTCCCCCCTCATTCCCCCTCCCCACCCCTCTGTCATTTTGCCACTGTCTCCAGCTTCCTCCTGTCCCTCCCTCCACCCCGCAACACACTCAGACAAATGCAAAACAGAACAGACACAACAGAATTACATAAGTTTTTCATTCTGTGGCAACAAAAACAAAAACAAACAAAAAAATAGGTTGCCAGAGAGCAGGAAAAAAAACCAGGGGGCTGGAGGATGAGTCTGCAAAGGAAAATTGGGCAGCAGAGCTCATGAAGAGGGAACATGAGTGGGGAAAGAAGCTAGAAGAGCTTAGCATGAGAATGGAGGAGAGGATATTTGCAGAAAGCAAGAAGTGGGAGATACAAGTCACCAGCAGCAGAGGCTAAGATACAGAGATTAGAAGAGGAACTGAAAAATCTGAAACAGCCTAAAGAATTAAAGAACAATTTATGAATGACATTGGAGACTGCCACCTCAGTCACAAACAAGGGGAATGTAGGGAACAAAGGAGTGAAGCTGTATGCAGCTGACACTTTTCCAACCATACATGAAGTATACCTGGAGGGTGCTCCGGGGGTCAACACCCATGCAGTTCAGTCCATGAACCATGCCTTGTGGTGGATCAGAGTCTGATCAACGGGACTGTTACTGCTGGCCCCACATAAAGCAACGTACGAGCCACAGCCTGGCTGGTCAGGTAATGACTTCAGATGCATGTCTAGTTCCCTCTTAAAGAGGGGGTCTATTGGTAATCCCCCCTATGTATGCTCGGAGGAAGTTGAACAGTCTTTGGCTCCTGACACGTATTTTGTTGTCTAAGCGTACTCTTGGTGCCCCTGCTCTTCATTGGGGAATACTGCATCACCTGCCGAGTCTTTTGTTGTCGTAGGGAGTGATTTCCGTCTGCTGAATGGACACTAGTCCTTCTAAAGAATTTTCAATTTTATATTAACATGTAACTTTTTCGCCTGCATTCCGAGGAGTACAGGTCAAAGAACTTTAACCATTCCCAGCACTTTAGGTGCTTTATTGTACTTATACGTGCAGTGAAACTTCTTTGTAGGTATATTCCTCAGGTCAGCAATTTCGCCTGCCTTGAAAGGGGCTGTTAGTGTACAGCGATATTCCAGCCTAGAGAGAACTAGCGATTTGAAGAGAATCTTCATTGGCTTGAAGGTTCCCGTTATCCATCCACCCTATTATTTATTAATTTTTCTTGCAGATGTGGTAGATACATTGTTGTGATTTTTGAAAGTGAGATTTTCTGATATTATCACTCTCAGGTCGGCCACATTAGTTTTTCGCTCCATTGTGTGGTTGAAATTTGTTTTATAGTCCGATCCAGTTAATATTTCCTCGAGTTTTCCACAGCGGAGTAATTGAAATTTGTCTTCATTCAACCTCATGTTTTTTTTTCTTAGGCCTATTTAATGACTTGGATAATGTCCACATGGAGATTTGCAGTGTCTTCGATGGATGACAGTCATGGAAATTCTGATATCATTAGCAAAGGAAGTCACAGTGCTGTGGCTTACATCTTTATGTTAATTATGAGGATGAGGAACAGGATGGGAGCGAGTACTGTGCCTTGTGGAACACAGCTTTTCTCTGTAGTTGCCTTAGACTTTATTCTGTTTACTTTTACTCTTTGTCGTCTATTTGTTAGGAAGTTTTAGATCCATCTACGTACCTTTCCTGCTATTTCTCTATCATGTATTTTGTGTGCTGCTACACCAAGATCGCACCTTGTCGAAGACTTTCGCAAAGTCTGTGTGTTCTACATCTGCATTTTGTTTGTCCTTCAGTGCAGCCAAGACCATGACATTAATTTGTCCAATTCCTCCTGATGCTCATTGGTTTCCTCCTCAGAATTTATCATTCGGCCTATTTTTGTGTCATCAGCGAATTTACTCAAGTCACTTGTTATTTCTTCGTCTAGGTCATTAATGTAAATTATGAGCAACAACGGGCTCAAAACTGATACCAGATCTCTTACAGCGACATAAATACATCAGGTTGATGTGAAGCACTGTCAGTCTTGCAGACCTCAGATCTCTTAAATTCTCAGAGCAATGTTTTAACCAAGAGTCGTGTTACACCTGAATATTGTACCAGCTATTCAGTGTTTGTAGTAGATTTTTGCACCAAGTATCTCTTGATTTTTATTATTTGGATTTAGTTTTACTGTATTTATAATTCCTAGAATAACAGTCCTCAAAAATAGTCATCTAATAGTTTGTTAGGCAAGTTGTGAAAACGAAGTCGAAACTTAAGAAAAGAATAATAAATGTTGGTATGCCACTGCTGAAACAGTTCCCTCATAAGCTGGTAAATCAAAGGAACAGACAACAAGCCTTGTCTTAAACCCATGTTTTACTCAGAGGAAGCTTAAGTTATAAAGCAGGAAGCAAGCTACACACTCATTCCCTTTAGGGACAAAAGTTCGATAATAAAATTAGAAGAAGTATCGTTCCTTCATCCACCACCATTACACATTAGATAAGTTATGTAAATACAAGATATCCTGGGACACTGATAAGTAGTAATCCACTGTTTTGTGAGTGCTGTTAAATAATGTTTTGGTAAGATAGCGAATGTTTAACTAATCAAGGGGTAAAGACCTGACTAATTCCCACGTCAGAAGACACTCATTTTGTTTCCCGACGAGCAAAATACACGTGTTATCTTAAGAATGATGTATGAAATATTTTCTACGTTAATTGAGAAAACATTCACTTTCCCCAGCATGGTGCGAGTGCGCCTGACAGAGCGGCAGTGGTCACGGCTGCTGACTGCATGGCTGTTGGCGCTGACAGTCTCCACTGCAACGCACTTCTTCTCCCCACATTGCAGCAGGTCAGAGAACATTGTGGTGAACAAGGCAGAGGGGCGTCTGACTCCCTGCAACAACACCTCTGCTCACCCCACCGCAGACACACCCTGCCAAGGTGAGTCATTATCGTACTAGTGACAGATTTCATTACCGATTGATTGATTGATTATAATTTTCCTTGTGCCGCTCGAGCGGCTACTATTTTGTGCACCGATGCTGGCCCTAAAATCGGTATCGTGAACACTGTGTTAATCGTGTGATCGGTACTGTGTATGCCATGCTCACCCTGCGATGGATAGTCATAAGACAGAATTACAAAAGTTACACTTGATCTTTGTCAGATTCACTGGGATTATGCAACTTGCATAAGTTAAAACTTTCATAATAAGCCTATTTAGGACAGCTTGTAACGACGTTGGTGACTGGTTGACAAAATTTATTGCTGGCACTGTCTGTGTATCTATATAAAAGTAGATTTATTACCTGGAGTTTACCTGGAGAGAGTTCCGGGGGTCAACGCCCCCGCGGCCCGGTCTGTGACCAAGCCTCCTGGTGGATCAGAGCCTGATCAACCAGGCTGTTACTGCTGGCTGCACGCAAACCAACGTACGAGCCACAGCCCGGCTGGTCAGGAACCGACTTTAGGTGCTTGTCCAGTGCCAGCTTGAAGACTGCCAGGGTCTGTTGGTAATCCCCCTTATGTATGCTGGGAGACAGTTGAACAGTCTCGGCCCACTGACACTTACTGTATGGCCTCTTAACGTGCTAGTGACACCCCTGCTTTTCATTGGGGGGATGTTGCATCGTCTGCCAAGTCTTTTGCTTTCGTATTGAGTGATTTTCGTGTGCAAGTTCGGTACTAGTCCCTCTAGGATTTTCCAGGTGTATATAATCATGTATCTCTCCAGCCTGCGTTCCAGGGAATACAGGTTCAGGAACCTCAAGCGCTCCCAGTAATTGAGGTGTTTTATCTCCGTTATGCACGCCGTGAAGGTTCTCTGTACATTTTCTAGGTCAGCAATTTCATCTGCCTTGAAAGGTGCTGTTAGTGTGCAGCAATATTCCAGCCTAGATAGAACAAGTGACCTGAAGAGTGTCATCATGGGCTTGGCCTCCCTAGTTTTGAAGGTTCTCATTATCCATCCTGTCATTTTTCTAGCAGATGCGATTGATACAATGTTATGGTCCTTGAAGGTGAGATCCTCCGACATGATCACTCCCAGGTCTTTGACGTTGGTGTTTCGCTCTATTTTGTGGCCAGAATTTGTTTTGTACTCTGATGAAGATTTAATTTCCTCGTGTTTACCATATCTAAGCAATTGAAATTTCTCATCGTTGAACTTCATATTGTTTTCTGCAGCCCACTGAAAGATTTGGTTGATGTCCGCCTGGAGCCTTGCAGTGTCTGCAATGGAAGACACTGTCATGCAGATTCGGGTGTCATCTGTAAAGGAAGACACGGTGCTGTGGCTGACATCCTTGTCTATGTCAGATATGAGGATGAGGAACAAGATGGGAGCGAGTACTGTGCCTTGTGGAACAGAGCTTTTCACCGTAGCTGCCTCGGACTTTACTCTGTTGACTACTACTCTCTGTGTTCTGTTAGTGAGGAAATTATAGATCCATCGACCGACTTTTACTGTTATTCCTTTAGCACGCATTTTGAGCGCTATTACGCCATGGTCACACTTGTCGAAGGCTTTTGCAAAGTCTGTATATATTACATCTGCATTCTTTTTGTCTTCTAGTGCATCTAGGACCTTGTCGTAGTGATCCAATAGTTGAGACATACAGGAGCGACCTGTTCTAAACCCATGTTGCCCTGGGTTGTGTAACTGATGGGTTTCTAGATGGGTGGTGATCTTGCTTCTTACGACCTTTTCAAAGATTTTTATGATATGGGATGTTAGTGCTATCGGTCTGTAGTTCTTTGCTGTTGCTTTGTGGAGTGGGGCTATGTCTGTTGTTTTTAGTAACTGTGGGACGACCCCCGTGTCCATGCTCCCTCTCCATAGGATGGTAAAGGCTCGTGATAGGGGCTTCTTGCGGTTCTTGATGAACACGGAGTTCCATGAGTCTGGCCCTGGGGCAGAGTGCATGGGCATGTCATTTATCGCCTGTTCGAAGTCATTTGGCGTCAGGATAACATCGGATAGGCTTGTGTTAACCAAATAATGTGGCTCTCTCATAAAAAATTCATTTTGATCTTCGACTCTCAGTCTGGTTAGCGGCTTGCTAAAAACTGAGTCATATTGGGACTTGAGTAGCTCACTCTTTTCCTTGTCATCTGTGTAGGACCCATCTTGTTTAAGTAGGGGCCCAATACTGGACGTTGTTCTCGACTTTGATTTGGCATAGGAGAAGAAATACTTTGGGTTTCTTTCTGATTTCATTTATGGCTTTTAGTTCTTCCCGCGATTCCTGACTCCTATAAAATTCCTTTAGCTTAAATTCGGTGCTTGCTATTTCTCTGACCAGTGTCTCCGTACGCATTTCAGATATATTGACCTCTTTTAGCCGCTCTGTTATTCTTTTCCGTCGCCTGTAAAGGGAGCGCCTGTCTCTTTCTATTTTACATCTACTCCTCCTTTTTCTTAGAGGAATAAGCCTTGTGCATACATCGAGTGCCACCAAGTTAATCTGTTCTAGGCATAAGTTGGGGTCTGTGTTGCTTAGTATATGTTCCCAACTTATATCGGTTAGGACTTGGTTTACTTGGTCCCACTTTATGTTTTTGTTATTGAAGTTGAATTTGGTGAATGCTCCCTCGTGACTAATCTCATTATTTCGGTCTGGGGCTCCGCGCATACATGTCTGAACCTCAATAATGTTGTGATCTGAGTATATTGTTTTTGATATGGTGACATTTCTTATCAGATCATCATTGTTAGTGAAGATGAGGTCTAGTGTATTCTCCAGTCTAGTAGGCTCTATTATTTGCTGGTTTAAACTGAATTTTGTGCAGAGATTTAAAAGCTCGTGTGAGTGTGAGTTTTCATCAGGGCTGCCTCCTGGAGTTATTACTGTAACAATATTATCTGCTATATTCCTCCATTTTAGGTGCCTTAAGTTGAAATCCACCAGGAGCAAGATGTTGCGTGCAGAACCTGGAAGATTTTCCAGACAGTGGTCAATTTTTAACAGCTGTTCCTGGAATTGCTGGGATGTTGCATCCGGAGGCTTGTAGACTACCACAATGACTAGGTTTTGGTTCTCGACCTTTACTGCTAAAACTTCCACTACATCATTTGAGGCATTAAGCAGTTCCGTGCAAACAAGTGACTCTGCAATGTACAGGCCAACTCCCCCCCCCCCTTTTGCCTGTTCACTCTGTCACATCTGTATAGGTTGAAACCTGGGATCCATATTTCGTTGCCCAAGTGATCCTTTATGTGGGTCTCAGTGAAAGCCGCGAACATTGCCTTTGCCTCTGCAAGCAGTCCACGGATGAAAGGTATTTTGTTGTTTGTTGCTGGCTTTAGACCCTGTAGATTTGCAAAGAAGAATGTCATCGGACTGGTGGTAATTACCGTTTGGATATCATATCCAATACTATAAAACCATAAAAATTATTAGAAAAGGCGGCTGAATATATTGTAAGAGAGAATTATAAGGGAAGTGATACTACTGGACATCAGTCATATCAACTCAGGTGAAGCATAATTCTTATGTTATGTATATAAACACAGATGTAATTAAGGTGACATTTTATTGAGGCAGTTACAAACAATACATGGACACAATGTATGATCTTTAATCTCACATAGTAGACAACAGTATGGCAGGTTGATCTTTAATCTCTCATGGTAGACAACAGTATGGCAGGTTGATCCTTAATCTCTCATGACAGACAACAGTATGGCAGGTTGATCCTTAATCTCTCATGGTAGACTACAGTATGGCAGGTTGATCCATAATCTCTCATGGTAGACTACAGTAGGCAGGTTGATCCTTAATCTCTCATGGTAGACTACAGTAGGCAGGTTGATCTTTAATCTCTCATGGTAGACTACAGTAGGCAGGTTGATCTTTAATCTCTCATGGTAGACTACAGTATGGCAGGTTGATCTTTAATCTCTCATGGTAGACTACAGTAGGAAGTTTGATCTTTAATCTCTCATGGTAGACTACAGTAGGCAGGTTGATCTTTAATCTCTCATGGTAGACTACAGTATGGCAGGTTGATCTTTAATCTCTCATGGTAGACTACAGTATGGCAGGTTGATCTTTAATCTCTCATGGTAGACTACAGTAGGAAGTTTGATCTTTAATCTCTCATGGTAGACTACAGTAGGCAGGTTGATCTTTAATCTCTCATGGTAGACTACAGTATGGCAGGTTGATCTTTAATCTCTCATGGTAGACTACAGTATGGCAGGTTGATCTTTAATCTCTCATTGTAGACTACAATAGGAAGATTGATCTTTAGTCTCTCATGGTAGACTACAGTAGGAAGTTTGATCTTTAATCTCTCATGGTAGACTACAGTATGGCAGGTTGATCTTTATCTCTCATGGTAGGGCTACAGTAGGAAGTTTGATCTTTAATCTCTCATGGTAGACTACAGTATGGCAGGTTGATCTTTAATCTCTCATGGTAGACTACAGTAGGAAGGTTGATCTTTAATCTCTCATGGTAGACTACAGTATGGAAGGTTCATCTTCAATCTCTCATGGTAGACTACAGTATGGCAGGTTGATCTTTAATCTCTCATGGTAGACTACAGTAGGAAGTTTGATCTTTAATCTCTCATGGTAGACTACAGTATGGCAGGTTGATCTTTAATGTCTCATGGTAGATTACAGTAGGAAGGTTGATCTTTAATCTCTCATGGTAGACTACAGTATGGCAGGTTGATCTTTAATCTCTCATGGTAGACTACAGTAGGAAGTTTGATCTTTAATCTCTCATGGTAGACTACAGTATGGCAGGTTGATCTTTAATGTCTCATGGTAGATTACAGAAGAAGGTTGATCTTTAATCTCTCATGTGACTACAGTATGCAGGTTGAATCTATAATCTCTCATGGTAGACTACAGTAGGAAGGTTGATCTTCAATCTCTCATGGTAGACTACAGAAGGAAGGTTGATCTTTAATCTCTCATAGTAGACTAC